AGCTTGTCATTTGGTGAATATATTATTATTTTCTATTTATTATTTATTATTATTATATATTATATATTAGATGAAAATTATAAAAATTTTATTTATGAAGTGAATGAATATCGAAGAATGTCAAGATATTGATGATCGAAGCAATAAATAGCTTGTCATTTGGTTTATATATTACTATTTACTATTTATTATTTATTATTATTACATGTTATATATTATATGAAAATTATGAAAATTTTATTTATGATGTGAATGAATTGAAGAATGTCAAGATATTGATGATTGAAGCAACAAATAGCTTGTCGTTTGGTTTATATATTATTATTTACTATTTATTATTTATTATTAATATATATTATATAAAATTATTATGTTATAGAACACTCCATCGCCTGACTACGGCGACAGGTTAAATTTAATAAATTAAAAAAGCGAATAGAACCGGACAGTGTACTCACGAGTTTCAAGCAAGCCATTCTCTGTCAGGTGACACTAGGCCGTTCGCAACCTGTAGCAAAAATCCACTAATTTTCCTCCGATCTATCCGCTGAGTTGCCACTGTACGTTCGGCGACGGTCCCGTGTTCTTTTATAAGAAAGGCGGGGTCCCGAGCCGGCGACCCCCAACGGCAATTTTCCCAGCCTTCGTATTGGCTTTCCTCCGTTAACGCTAATAGCTAAGCACCGGCCGCATTGTTACCCTGGAATTATGCGAATGCAACGCGTCATTATGAGAAAAAGAGAGGAGGGCCGCGCGAGCGTTTCGGGATGATACGCGCGACGGCCCGGCGACGGCGACGACGACGACAACGACGACGACGAAGCACGCCCGCCTTGACATCCAAATTCGTCGTCGGAACGGTTCAACGTTCTTACATGTGTGTGTGTGTATGTGTGTGTGGTTTCTCAATTGCGACCGGCTCTCCGTGAAATACGGCGCATAAAAAAAAAGAANTATTTAATGTAACTTGGCATAGAATTAATTCAATCAAAACAACTCTTTCAAATAAATCTGAACAGTGAAAAACGTACTAATTAACGTAACCTGACACAGAAATAGTTAAATACTCCATAAATTGAATACTTAAAAATGCACTGACGTTACACAAAAATGACAGCAACGCTGTTGCAATTATTTAATCAAACCAGACCTGGTAAAATAGCATTATTTATTTCAATTAATATATTTTATTCATTACGAATATTATGAAAATTTTATTTATTAAATGAATGCACTGTTTAAGATGATATTTATTTTATTTATGAAAACTTATTGTTCATTTTAATTCAATTGTTTTATTTATTATGAAAGTTATTGAATATTTTATTTATGAAATGAATGAAATTAGGAATGTCAGGATATTGATGACCGAAGCTAT